CAACAATGGTGACAGAAATAACTGGAATCTGACAAAATAATTAATAAAAGTTCTATAAAAATGAATAAATGAAAGTCAGACTTTGCTTTCCAACCATTCTTCAACAGAATTAAAACAAAAAAATAAAACTCATGAAACAGGTCTGGACTGATATGATGGTAGCCCTGAAAATACTGTGACCAAATCCATATTTTCAGTTCCAGGCTGAGTCATTTCTACCTTCTCCTCTCTGTCAACGCTCTCTGGTTTCATTTAAAAGAGTCGATCATCAGATATTGTCCAAGATTAACCTTCAGGGTGGATATAGCTCGCTAGCAGCCTCGCACCGAGGACCTATCCACGTCATCATTTACCCAGAATGCTTTGCGTCCAAATAAAATGGCTTTGTCCGTGTTAAAATATATATTTTAAAATGTACAAAACCAAACAACACAGTCTTTATTTTACAGTTAAAATTTATGTTTATCAAATAAAGTTTAATGTTACAACTAATCAGGAATCCCTTCAATTATTGTTTGCATTATTTGCTTATAAAGACTTAAATGTTTAAGCCAGTTTTCAAACTGTTAGACTGATTATATAATTACCAAGTCAGATCAGGGTTTTGTGTTGCATTGCCTGCRACTATAATAGACTAATAGACTTCTTAATCGACCCTCGCCTGCTTCAGACTTTTCAGAGGATACATGATCCCAGTGAGAGTAACATTTTCATTGCTGCTCTGTGCTCACAAACAACCGTGCAGGAACACCTGATCAAGGTGTGTCTTGGTTGTGTGCTTCCCTTCATTCAATGGCAGTTTTGTCAAACACCGATCCCTGTTTTTTTTGTTGCGCAAGTGGCAGAGAGGCCACTGTGTTAAGTAGCTTCTCTCTGCTGAGGAAGCAGCAGAGTCTGGAGGGAAGCCAGTSCGGCGATGGCCGTAATGGATTCACACAAGACAAGTGGATTTCTGGGTCACCACGGGAACCTGGACGCAAATCCGACTCACCTACAGCAACAACAAAGGCCTGCGTGTGTAAAGCTTTTGTTGACTGTTTCTCATGTTTTTTTTTCCCTCTGGTCTCACAGTGAACACTGACACAGAAACAGCCGTGGTGAATGTTACATACGCAACCAAGGAGGAAGCTAAAGTGTAAGCAGCACACATCAATGATGATCCAAATACCAAGAGATRCTTAATATGCCCTCAGATAATCTCAGCAGTTGTTTATTTGCGTTAAAGCTAACACTTTCTCCCTCTCCTCTTCATCCCAGAGCCATTGAGAAGCTCACAGGACACCAGTTYGACGACTACTCCTTCAAGGTGTCGTACATCATGGACATGGATGCTGCTCCACCCATCCAGGCTCCCCGAACGCGACGCGGGGGTCGAGCTTCTCGGGACCAGGGCGCCCCTCAACCCGGACCGTCGGGAGGTTTTGGTTCTCCACGCCTCAGACAGCCTGACTTCCCCCTGCGTATGCTCGTGCCCACTCAGTTTGTGGGAGCCATCATCGGGAAGGAAGGACTCACCATCAAGAATGTCACCAAACAGACTCAGTCCAAGTAAACTTTTTTACACATTTATACCCTTCATAAGTTTTGTTTTAGCAGTGTGGTTAAAGTTTTTTTCCCTTTTGTCTAAGATGCTTTGCATACAAAACTAAAATATTTCATTTATGTCAAATATTAATAAAATATCGGCAGAGCTGATTAAAAAAAGTGGAATGAAGATATGATAATTAGCTTTGGTTTGTAGTTTCTTTTGTACATATTTTGCATTTAAATTACACATACTTTTTACTATTTCAACAAGAGATTCAACTTGAATCTTATATCCCCTCTGTTCATTAATAAAGTTTTCTGTCTTGATTAGGAACAGTGTGTTATTCCTTAAAGT